GGCGCTTCGGGACGAAGTGTGCCGCCTGCCAGCAGGGCATCCCCCCGACCCAGGTGGTGCGCCGGGCCCAGGACTTCGTGTACCACCTGCACTGCTTCGCCTGCATCGTCTGCAAGCGGCAGCTGGCCACCGGCGACGAGTTCTACCTCATGGAGGACAGCAGGCTAGTCTGCAAGGCGGACTACGAGACGGCCAAGCAGAGAGGTACCCCCGCCCTGTGCCCCACTGAGGAGCACCTAGGGGAGAGGCGAGATCCCCCTGCCCTCCAGGACCTTCTCATCCAGCAGGGCGGGAGGGATGCAGGGAGCATCTGCCTTTGGGGGTGGCTGGAGGGAAGAGGGAGCCCCCCTTGTCCCTGGGGACAGCAGCTCGCAGGCAGCTCCTACCCCGGTAACTCACACCCTTGTTGGCAGAGGCGGAGTCCACAGCAAAGAGACCCCGCACTACCATCACCGCCAAGCAGCTGGAGACCCTCAAAAATGCCTACAACAACTCGCCCAAGCCAGCACGGCACGTCCGGGAGCAGCTCTCCTCAGAGACCGGGCTGGATATGCGGGTGGTGCAGGTGAGACGGGCCGGTTCCAGCCCCTCGGTCCCCTCAGGGGTCAGTCCCGGGGGGGAGCCCAGGGGCAGGAGGTGGAGGGCTGGTAGGGGTAGCGCAGCAAGTGTTAGCCCTGAGGGAAGAAGCCAGCCCCGCAGAGGGAGCGTCCCAATGTGCCCTGCTTGCAGGTCTGGTTCCAGAACCGAAGGGCCAAGGAGAAGAGATTGAAGAAAGATGCTGGGCGGCAACGGTGGGGCCAGTACTTCAGGAACATGAAGCGATCCCGGGGGACCTCCAAGTCCGACAAGGACAGCATCCAGGAGGAAGGGCCTGACAGCGACGCTGAGGTCTCATTCACAGGTCAGTCCCCAGAGCCCTGTTCCGAGGTGGGGCATTGCCGCATGCGGTCTGCGCGCTCGCCTCCCATGCAAACACACTGGTCTCTGTCTAGGCTCATTTCACCCCCTTAGTGCTACTTTAACAACTTCCAGTCATAACATAAGGAGTGAAAACAAGAGCCCAACCCGGGAGGAATGAGGTGGAAGGAGATGTGCAGAGCTGCAGGATTTCATGGCTCTGAGCTGCGCTTGGCTGCCTGGTCCCCATGGGGCTGGCAGGGGAGATGCTGAGCCACGGCTGCTAGGGACAGCTGGGGCTGAGAAATAGGAGGGGAAAGCTTCTGTCTTCCTCGATGAGGACTGCGTCAGGTCCAAAATGGCCAAGGGAAAGCAGGGACGAGGTCCCTTAGGAATTAGCTGGGCACGCGCTGCAGGTCTTAAAGGAATACCTCATATACAGTCTTTCAAAGGGACTTGTAGAAATACAAAACCCAGAGAGTCCAGAATCACTGAACTGAATGTTTCCATGCCAAAAAGTATGTAGAGATTTTTTTCGTCCTATTCAGGGATGGTTTTATTCGCACAGTTGTTAGTTACGACACTCTTCCCAGTTTTGTGGGAAGGCTTTCTCTCTCTGTGAAAGAGAGACTGGATTGTGTTAGGAGGTTTCTGTGATGGGGTCTCCTGTTTTTTGGAGCAGAGATGTCTGCTGATCAGCCCAGGGATGTCCCTGTGCTAGCTCTCAGCCCGTGCAGCCTCAGCCCGCCCTCTCTAGACCCAGGGCCAGCTTGCTGCGGGTGCAGGATGCGGCTCTGCGCGGGGAGATTGGTGCCTGCAGCATGGCCTGGGGCCCCGGGAGCATCCGGGCCACATCTCGCACTGCCCCAACGGCAGCTCAGAGCTGCTTCCCGGAGCCAGACGGCTTCTGCCTGTGTTACTGCAATGTCCAGCTCTGTGTGTGCGTGTCAGAGTGTTTGTATCATTTTTAGGGATACAGGAGAGAAACTGAAATGCAAAACTGTGTGTACATATTTACACAGATATATGTATATAGTGCATATACGTATATATACACAGTTTTGCATTTCAGCTTCTCTCCTGTATTCTTAAAAACTATTTGATTTCCAAGTCTGTTTATACACACTGTGCATCAGCATCATTAAATATGAATATACCATAAATAATAACTAAAAACGTTAAACAATTATTGATAGCTTGATCCCACAAACAGGTTTGTATCCTAGGCAACAGAACAGCTCTCAGTGTCTGTAAAGCCCGTAATGAATGCAAACAATTTTCGCTGGTAACTAAAAAATATTTTTCATTTTTTCAAAAAAAAGTTGTTTAAGTTGTATGAATACATTTCATTAGCCTGTTCCTGAGCAGTGAAATTTGCTGAGATTTAATAGGTTTTTCTGAGCAATGGGAGAGTTTTTCTTGCATCAGTGAGCACACGGGTAGCTCCTAAAAATGATGGCAAAAATGAAGATAAGCCTCAAAGCCAAACAGAAATACAGAGAAAAAGTGGAATTCCCCATTCCCCTTTAAAGGATTCTTTTTAAGTCACTGTCTTATATTTTAATATCTACTTTTCATGCACATTTTTAAAATTTAAAAAGAATTAGACATTCCTACTCAGAAGAAAATAATAATCCCATGGCTTTCTATGAAGACCCATCAACAAGACCATGAATAGTAAGGAATTACAAGTGGCAAGCGTGTGGCGTTCGGCTCCTATCCATCTAACCTATTTAGGCTGAGAGCTCGCAGGAGCTCCCCTCCGACCGCTGCCAGCCGTGGCACTTTGCTGTCCCAGTAAAACCAGTCACTTTGCCTTCCAGATGAGCCGTCTATGTCAGAAATGAACCATTCCAATGGGATTTACAGCAACCTCAACGAAGCCTCCCCGGCTCTGGGGAGACAGGCTGGGAGCAACGGGAACTTCGCTCTGGATCACAGCGGCCTCCCGGCTCAGGACCAGTACCACGACCTGCGCTCCAACAGCCCCTACGGGATACCCCAGTCACCAGCTTCCTTGCAGGCACTGCCAGGCCACCAGCCTTTAATCTCCAGCTTGGTTTACCCAGACAACGGCTTGGGCATCATGGGACAAGGCGGACAAGGGGTGCCCCAGTCCATGAGAGTGCTGGCTGGGAACGGACCCAGCTCCGACCTCTCCACCGGCAGCAGTGGGGGATACCCGGATTTCCCTGCCAGCCCAGCCTCTTGGCTAGACGAAGTCGACCACGCTCAGTTTTGATACAGGATCCGGCACGGTGCAATGCGAAGGGAACGGACTCGGTGCTGTTAAGCGTCATCTGCTTTGGAAGTCAAGGACGGACAGACTGTGACTGCTGAGCGGGGAAGGAAAGCGCAACGACACGGCGAGAGCGGGTGCGCTTTCGGAGGGCGACCGTGCGGCGGGCTGGCAAGGGACGGCGCGCAAAGGGAGCTGCGTCGCAGCGCTTAGCTGAAGGAGCGTCCAAGCGAAACTGAGTACTGTGTCTTTACTAAACACCGACACTTGTGCTTTACAGATTTGATATAAGGTATTTTGCTTTCTGTTGTCAGTGCGTTCTTCAAAGCAAGGACTTGCTTCATCACTTATCCACACCGAAACCTTTTTAAGAGAAAATAAAGTCCTCATCCACGGTAAAGGTGTGACAATGTCTATATTTCTATAGGAGAAATGTTAATTGTGAATCACTTCAGAAATCCATGGTAGAAAACTTCTCTGTTCTTCCAGCAGATTTTTTAAAAAGTGCACCGATGCGGTATGTTCTGTTTTACTTTGAATTTACATTAACTTTTTAAAATTAAATCTCTTTAATATGCCAATCATTTATCAACAACCCTTTTCCTTTGTAAGATGATGACATATTAATTCTGCTTCTCATCTTTTAATTTGTAGATTGCTAGTTTTACTCTTCCATATAAGCATTAAGCCGTGAATAGATGTATTTATTACCAAATAACTACACTTTTCTCACAGGGTCAAGAGGTGCTTTTTCTTGACCCAGGAACACTAGTGGCTCTGGGTTGTGAAACTTCTGCTTTTTTTTTTAATGGATTCCTTCACAGCAGTTTTACTGCAAAGCATCTCAAAACCGCCCTCATGTCTCGTTGCCAAATACCTTCTCAGAAGGTCTCTCAGCAGGTGATTGTGGCTGGTTTCACACTGCTCTTCATGCACCGTCGGGAGCGTGTCCTCACGAACACACGCTTTCCTGACGCCACTTCTCTCTTGGAGGCATTTGTGTATTTCTGCAGATGTAGCGCGAGCTGATTGTGAGGAAAGGCAAGACAATATGTATAGTGTTACCTGTAAAAATTATTGAATTAACTGTAGATTATGTGAATGTCCGGTGTCTTTTATTTATATTCTCGCTTTCTCTCTGATGATCAAATACTTCATGACTACAAATAAATTTGTCAGCTAAACTTTAAATAGTCTTTTGCTAAATTCACACCAAAAGCATCGGTACAGGTAAATAAAATACCTGAAACTAAAAGTAGATGCCCTCAAAAACCTGAGGCCATGATTCAACAAAGTGTCGAGTGCTCTCTGCCCTTTAAATACAGGAGCAGTCCCACCGGTATAAAAAATGCTTTGATAAGTAGAAGCAAAAAATGACAGTTTGGGAGGCTGGCACTCTTGGGAGATCCAGCCAGCATTGCTCCGTGTGTGCCCAGCCTTTGATCACAGACAAGCTGGTTTTGGTGGGTAATCATTTTTTTTCAGCATTTATTGCACAGGTAGAAATAGATAAGGGAGAAATTTTTGGTGACAAAGCAATAGCAAACAGTATATTCTGATACTGTATGTTTCTGTACAGAAAGGTGTGCACGTGAAATAGTAAAAGTCTTATACTGGAATATTTCAAAGAGAAATCAGAAAAAAACATCAGGGAATTAAGCTTGACCCGACTTGCACAGCCCATTAACATGTGTACACACGCACAGGCGAGAGGTGCGCGCACTCCTACACATAATTTTCATATACAAATAGCTGTGGTCACGCTCCTCCAAGCAGAATCAAACGCTGTTTATCAAAGTCTCCAGCTGAAGAATCAGATGGGAGATTTCTTTTTTTTTCTTCTTTTTTTTTCTTTTTTTTTAAGCATGCGGGTTTCGAGCCTTCAACTCCCCTGGGAAGCTGGGGAAGATTTGCGCCAGGTGCTTCAGTGTGCTGAACATCTCTGAAGTGTTTGAATTTCAGCATCCAGCAGCCTCGGACAGGGATGCAGCTGCGACGAGCCCGGGGCCTCCCGGGCGATTGCGGCCCCTTGGCAGGGGACCCCGCGGGAAACGCGGTGCTTTCCCCAGGAGGCTTCCAGCGCCCCGGCGGGACGCCTGCTGCCCCGGGGGAGGGAGGCACCAGATGTCAGGTGGTGATGCCTGGAAAATCCAGGCTTTTCTTTCTTACCTTTTCCAAACAGCGCGTTGCCGCTGCTGGAACAGTTTGTCTCTGGTGTAACGCCCGTTGCTGTGCTACAGCTGCGGGGCGACGTGTGACTGCTGCTACGCGCCCGTTCATCGCTCCCTGCACCCTCGCCCATCCGGGCCTCTGCTCGGCGAGGGTGGGACAGCGGCATTGCCAGAAGTTCACCCATACTGGTAATATTTGCAGAAAGATTTCAGTGTTCAAATGACCTCATAACCACCAGTGCTGCATAAGCATCTTCACAGCTTCCCCCGGCCCCGTTGCATTTCGTTGGCAAAGAAAATACATGCCGAGCTGCTGCTCACAGCCAGCTGCCCGCAGTGCCCAGGCTGAGCCGTGACCGGCGCAGCGGCACCCACGAGATGCCCCTCGCTGCTGCGGGCCTCAGAAAACTGCTGCCAGCCTACGTAGCTCCCTGTGCCTGTGGCTGATACTGGGCTGGAGGGTTAAAGCACCCGAAGCGAAGCGGGTGCATGCGTGCTGCCTCCGTGCAGCAATATTCACTAACTGGAGAAACTCGTTCTCGTCTCAGGACACCCAGGCAAGCAGCTATAGCAGGGCAGAGAGAAACCCTCCTGCATGAAATCAAGGGGCTTTTGGTGTAGAAATGCGGTGCCAGCTTGGGCCCGGGGGCGACCCGCGCGGACCCTCCTGTGCCTCTGCTCCGGGGTGGTTTTTCAGCCGGAGAAATTCTGTCCCCTGCAGCCACGGCAGGGATTTGCCTAGTTCAGCTCTGGACGAGCTGCGGTTTCTTCCTCCTACAGTTACTCCAGAGCTGAGTAATAAGGAGAAAACTGTTGCTGCCAGCCCTTTGGCACATCACAAGGCCATTTCTTATTGAAACTTTCGCAGTAATTTGGGAATTATGGTATTTTAAAAAGGCGATCACAAGACCTCACCCACACAGAAAAAGAGAGGAATTCTTTATTTTCTGTTCTCCTGCTCTGTGGTCTAGAAACACTTACACCACATCCAGCTAATTGTTTTGCATCAAAATGTTTTGGCAGCTCAGGCATACACAGTGTTTTCTTGGAAGAGACTGATTGAAAAAGAAGGAAATAAAAACAGAAATAAAGAAAGGCAGCTTATTTTAGGATAATGCTGTTTTTATAAAATCACTGTCTAGAAACTGTAGTTATTGAATAAGTATTTCACAGATTTTTTTTTCCTGCCTAAGTTCCCTCACAGAAAATAACTGTTGGTTTTGTTCCACTTACTCTGGGAATTCCCGGTGGGATACTGAATTTAAGAAAGCAAGAAATGCAACTGTCCTCCTTCGCCTTTGTGCTTCGCTCTGAAAGGCAGGCGAGGCTGAGAGCTGGCGGCTGGGCGAGGGTTCGGTGCGGTTCGGTTCGGAGAGCTCCCCCGGCGCCCTGACGCGCGACCCGGGGGGGGATCGCCTTTCAGCCCGTCCCTCCAGAGCCCGCGCTCGGAGATTCCACTAATATAAATGCCTTCTTCCCGTTAAAAAGAAAATCAATTTGAAAGAAGCAAATAAAACTAATAGCATAGAGCTGACTGGCAGCTCGTAAACCCCCGCAGCATGAGGAAGAGGGGGCTGCACTGGTGGGTTTGCAGGGGAGCTTTGCAACCTCTGCGGGGTGTCGCTCTCCGGCTGCAGAGCCAAGGAGCCGGCGGTAACCCGACGCGCCGAGCCCAGGCGGGGGCAGCGCGGCGGCGGGGGTGAGCAGAGCCCCGGGACCGCTCGGCCGGGGCGCGGGGGTTTTGGCCAACCCCGGGCCGGGGCGCGATGCAGTGAATGGGGTGTCCCTGCGTCCTCTTTGGGGACCTGAGCCGGGCGAACCCTCTCGCCCCACGGCAAGCAAGAAGGTGGCAGGGGCCGGGTGCCCCCTGGGTCACCTGGACTTCCTCCCCCAGGTGTGTCTGGCGCCCGGCGCGAGGTGCTGTCACCCCCTACACATGCTGCCCTGCTTCCCCTGCAGGTGCCGAGGTGCAGCAGAGGCAGGAGGGTGGAGAGCAGCATGCTCCATACACAGAAACAACATCCACAAGCAGCCAGCGACTTTGTTAAACCCTGACAAGAAAACCGAGCTAGCGAAAATATGCTGGAGAAGAGCAAAGGTGTTCAGATTTGCCTTTTTCCTTCTGACATCTTTATTTCACGTCTAGGCAGGCGTGTGTTTTGCACTGACCACACACACGCATGCGTGGCGCCTTGCTGGCACCGGGGTGGGCTACAGAGCCTGAGAAAGACGTAGCTTCAGGATGCAGAAAGCACTGCTTTTGTGCTCAGCGTTTTGTGATCTCAGATGAAAAACAATTTACCAGCCAAATACGCATGATTTCCAGATTTAAATGAACTCGTTCATGTTAGGACGAAATCGGTTTCTGCAGGTTATTTCTCTGGCAGGGCACATGTAGGTATGCATGCGTGGGAGCGTAGCGCCAGGAGAGCACGGACCACGGTCCTCTCCCGGGGCGTGTGGCTTCACTGGTTGCTCCTGGTCTATGGGCAGAAACTGCATGTGGCTGTTTTGTCCTCTTTGCGTTTGGAAGGAAGAGTCAGGTAGCAGGTACCGACCGGGCGGCAGAGGCCGGCGCGGGGGCTGCCGGTGCCGCGCGGCGGACAGGCGGCCGCTGC